AGGCAGCGGGCAGCCCCCCCGAGCTGGGCCCGCCGAGCTGGGCCCGCCACGCCGCCCCTTCCCCTGAGGGTCCCAGGCCCGGGTCAGCCTGAGGTGCGGGGCGGGCAGGAGGGCGAGGAAAGGTTCGTGGGGGAAGAGATAAAGCCGTGTTTTGTCCCGTGTGTGTCGGTGTCTCATCCCCATGCCCGGCTGGAGGGGCCCGGGCCCGCTGGAACGCTGCCCGAGGGTCTCCCCAAGGCTGAGCAGCTCAGTGTGCCCTTCAGAGCCACAGCTGAAGGTTGTGGTTTAAAAATAACCCCGACCCAACAACACCACCGAAAATCCCCACACCGACATCAGTGTGGAATTGTTTTATGTGCAGCTTAGGCTTGGATCTCAGTGGGTCACAACCATCAGCCAGGCATCAGCTGGGGAAGGGACTTTTTACAAGGGCGTGTGGTGATGGGATGAGGGGGATGGTTTAAAGGTGGGAGAGGAGAGATTTAGGTTAGATTTTAGGAATAAATTCTTCACTGTGAGGGTGGTGAGACCCTGGCCCAGGTTGCCCAGGGAAGCTGTGGCTGCCCCATCCCTGGCAGTGTTGAAGGGCAGGTTGGATGGGGCTTGGAGCAGCCTGGGCTGGTGGGAGGTGTCCCTGCCCATGTAGGGGGGTTGGAAGTAGGTGATATTTACGGTGCCTTCCATCCCGAGTCATTCTATAATTTCACATAAATAGGAGACTGCTTATGGAAAAAAGTGAATTTTCTCTCAGTACAGACCCTTATTTGTGTTTAGTCTGCTCAAATTGGCTCTCAGGGTGTCTGGTTTTACACTTACTATGGTACCTTGCCTTTGGCATTAGGGGACCTTGTCTACCATTGGCCTTCTTTACTCCTGAGCAAGGTCTAGTCCACAGCCATAAGATCATGTCTTACCATACCTGTGCACCAGGTACATCTTCTTACCCAACCACCTTCAGACCAGTCCCCATCTCATCTCACCATCTGAAGGCTACTGGCCATGGTGTCCAGAGCAAGAAGCAGACCCTGGTGTAGTTGCATCTCCAGCACCAGTCAGACGGAGAGTGGCTTGAGCTGCTCTGGGAGCAGGGAGAGCTGGGGAGAAGGGGCACAGCAGGGCCCTCACCCCCACCTTGCTGGGCTGGCACGGGGTAGAGGGTTGTCCAGACACACAGCACTGGGAGTTTGGGGTTAAATTGTCTCTTGCCCCGAATTTACATAATTAATTTTTCAGTCTGCTGGTTTCATAGATATTTGTAGTTTGATTAGATTCTGTAAAAGAGCTCTTTAAAAGCTCCTTAAGAGCTCTTTAAATCAGTAAAGTTTTTAAAATCCTATTTCAATTAAGTTCTAACCTACTAATTCCCAACTACCAAAAAAAACCCAACACACCACTTTCTCTACAAGGTGTGGATGCTTTATATGACGTGATATTTTAATTTTTTATCCCTTTTATGCACCTGCAGAAACACTTTTTTGGTGTTTTGTGTGTACAATGGCAAGTGAAGGTTTTTAAAAATAAAAAAGCAGCCTGGTTTGTATAGAGTAGGTCACACAAGCCCCTAATTCAGGCTGACAAGTGTGATGGATTTATGGTGTCTGCCCACAGACCCCACCCCTAATAAAATGTAGCTCCTTGCAAAAGGGTTGAAAAGCCACCAAAACATGTGGCTTGTTTAGTTTCCGTGGAAAAAGGGTACAGTTGACTCAAGATTAGATAATAAACACTCATGTTGATTACATCAGTGGAAAAATAAAACTTCCTCACTGTAGTTGGCAGTGCAGATTTCACCTGTGAGAACTCCAAGCTGCTGGAGAAAGGCTTTGCAGCCACCCAGCAGTACAGTGATCATAACCAAAAGCTCTGGAGTTATATCCATGAGGCCTCTGCTCCTGAAGCTCTTCAGATACAGCTTGGGAAGCTGCATTACTACACATAAAAAGGTTTAGAAGAGATCTGAGCTCCATAGTTCTGGCTCCAGTTCCTCCTGCTGTGGAAACAGACAGCCCAATGACCCAGATTAGCTAGGAATCCTTGACCTAATCACTGTTTTATTTAATAAATGAGCTATGGCTTTTTTAAAAAAGCTGTGACTCTCTAGTGCTTCCATGTTTCCATGGCAATGGGAGTGGCAGCTGCAGCTGAAAGAAATATTGGAGGCATTTTCCAGATTTTAAAACAGGGCTGGGAGCTGGGAAGGATCTTGCATAGACAATAGGTTTGAATAGGCTGAAGCCTTTATTCTCTTTGGAAAGAGGATGGAAAATGCATTGTGGTGACTATGAGAAAACAAAACCTCAAGTTATCCTTAACTGCTGGTTTTGCTTAGAGTGGCTTATCTTCAAAGAATGTCTCTTTAGGACATCAGAACATACTTGGTACAGCTCCTGGGTCCTTCAAGGAGGGAGACTTCCCATCTGTTGGTGGTTTGCTGGTGAACCAGCACACCCAGAGCACGTGGCCCTTGTAGCAGAGGTTTATTCACAGAGCTTTTCCCTCGGTGTAACATGTTGGAAAGTACCATGACAAATTTCCAAATCACATTTAGCCCAGAGGAAAGCAGTCCAGGCCGTGTAAACTTAAACCATGCTTGAGTTGTTGGAGCAGCTCTATGAGAAGCTGTGTGGTGTGTTGGTCAAGATGACAAGCCCCAGAATGGGCACTTGCTTTTTCTTTCCCTTGTTTCACAGGCTGGAGGGAAAGGGGATGATCAACAAGAAAACTAGAAATTATACACTTAATATACTTGAATAATAAGCTACATATGCACATTTCTGGGAACATTCAGGTAGTGCATTTTTAGGTGTTAAGGCAAGTGCCTGTAATTTATGGCCACTGTAGAGGTGCAGCAGAGCCAATGTCATTTCACTGGAAAGTGTAAAATACCTGTAGAGGGTCAAGTGCTTCAGACACTTGTAATCATATAGTGCCATTTTGCTGGATTAAATCAGAGCTGTTTCCCAAGTGCAATCCTAAAAGCTCTGTGGAACTGCAGTTCAGTAAACTGTAATTTTGAGCTTGCCAAACTAGTCACAGAAGAACAAAAGATCAGGTTTGTTATAAACAAGCATAATGAAGCAATACTAGTGTGAGAAAATGGCACGGACAGAGGGAGCTTTTAGGTTTCTGTGATTGAGAGGGGACAAAAGTCTGGCCTGTTCTCAGTGGTTTTCAACTCTTTTTCATGAACTACTTAAACTTTATAGAATTGTCACTGATTTTTCTTCTTAACAGGTTGAGAAATGAGTGAGTGGATTTGCTATCCATGTTCATTAGTTGTTGGCACAGATGGAAGGCATGTCCATCTCTCCTAAAACAAGTTAGAGGTTTACATAAGCTGAGTAATGCCTTGTTTCTTCTGAGCAACCATATCCTGTGGGCTGTCCTTAAGAGGAACCTGCAGGACCCATCTACCCGTGAGGAGTTCTTGGTTGTGAGAGTAAATGCCTGAAATCCCAGAGTCACACATGCTCTTCACCTCCAATCCCTGAATTGACTTCCTATGTCATGGCAAAGTGTATTGTTAAAGATGTAATTATTAATATCTTTTGTTCAGAAGGCTTGCTTACCCTCTCCTTTCCCCCTGCCAAGAGACTGGAAAAGTTTAAGCTTTCTAACACACAAAAGTCTTGCTTCAGACATGGCAAAGCATCATAGAAGGTTAATGATAAGCAGCCCTTGCTAAAGGGCTAAATGAACTTTTTTCACCAAGTTATTCCACTTCAGTGCTAATTTTTCTTCCATGAGTTGATGTGAATTAAACTGAAGGATCTTGTTCTGGTCATTGTGTAATATTAGCTTCCATTATCATCTGTAGTAGGTCTTAGATAATATGTAAATGAAGGGAAAAGGGAGAGTAGCTTTCAGTGTTGTTCTAGGAAACCTGCAGGGATGCTTTCAAGCTTTGACTTGTTTACTGTGTTGGATTAGGAATGTGAGTTTTCCTTGAGGATGCTTGCTTAAATTCTTGGATCCCTGGCTGTTCATTCTTCCCTTTGTCTGTTTCACTTCCTTTAGGGCCCTTCTCATTCTATGTTTTCTTGCATTTAATTTGCTATATTCAATGACCAGAACATTTGCTCCAGTTTAGGGGTTTGGTGAGAATGCAGCTACACAAAAACCAGGCATCTGCTTCTCTGGCTTATACCACATCTATTCAGAGCAACTACCATTTCATGCCTGCCTTTTTTTCCTTACTGGTTTTACAAATGAGATCTAAAGTCACTGAAATTACAAGGCTAGAAAATGTTTTTACTTGTTTCTTCCCCCACTCTTGCCCTGGTTTTACCTTGTGGGTTTGAAAGCATTTCTAAAATAACTTTTTTTCTTTCTTTCTTTAAAAATCACTTCAACTGTTTTAAATGCTTGAAAAGCATTTAAAGGACAGCATTTATCAGGTGGATCTGGGAAGGTTTCATACCTGGAATTATCTTGGATGTTCTTTGAATTGAATACATTTCAAATAGGTAACTTTCCTTCAAGCAGATGGCTGGAAAGTTTCCTAGCAAAGTTGCATTTAAACACACTTCAAGAATGTATAAAATTCCATTCTGTTGTTGCTTTTTGTGTGAAACTGCCTTTATCTTCAGAATAGGTGAGTGCACCGCAGGCAGCAGAATATGGCTGGACAAATATCAGAATCTGATCAGATCAAGCAGGTAAGATGCTTTATTCATGAGTGGTGGCTTTGAAGATCTTCAGTTACTCTGTCATGTGGAGTAAAAGGTGTGGGGCATGCAGGAGGGCAAAACATTGGAGTTATCATCTGAGTTGAGGCTAGTTCTGTAGCAACCAATATGTAAACACTTGACCAGTGACAGACACAGTATAATAGCTGAAGTGAGTACTAGCATTTGGTGCTGAAATCATCTGATGATAGCAAATTTTTCTAGTGACTTGTCCTTTAAATGTAAGTGTCATCAGATGGCCCATGGAGCTGTGTGTAAGCAGTTAATGTAGACTTTTTTTTTAATGCTCATTGTCCCATTTTTATTTACAGTTCAAGGAATTTCTTGGAACCTACAATAAAATTACAGAAAACTGCTTTCTGGATTGCATAAAGGATTTCACTAGCAGAGAGGTTAAACCAGAAGAGGTAGGTAAATGTTTCCTTTGCTTTTCATGACCCTGTGGTAGAATTGGTGTGTAGCATAGACATTTCAGAAGCAACTTAAAGTTTTGACCTTTCAACTAGCCCAAAAGCTGGTTAGCAGTCCTACTGCTGTGTCTTTGGTGGTGTGTAGGAGTCTACTAGCACTTTCCAAGTGAGAAAGGAAGCGAGTTAGTGGAAGGAAGGGAAATAGTTTGTCTGTAGTTCCGCTTCTTCAAGCGTGTCCAAAGGTGGTGACAAATACTTCTTTGCACCCTAAGTCTGTGTACAAAAAGAAACCAGAGAAACAACCAAAGCCAAGTGCTTTTGATGTGCTAGACCATCAGCTACAGACAAACTATAGGCTAAGGACCTCTTGAGGTCTTATTGTCTTCTTTTCAGTCTTCCTGATCTTGCTGGGTTGGCTGCTTATTGCAATTCTGTGTCTTTCATTCTCTGAGCTATCAGTGAAGGTTCTTGTGCCTCAGCTTCTGATGGGTGGTATCTTTGTGGACATGGAAGTTGCCCACCTACAGCCTGCATCTCATTCTTTGAAGGTAGAAGCCTACTGAAATACTTGTTTACCTACCCGTGTTCCCTGCATGGCAGTGAGTCATAGCAACATCAGCCTCCAAAGCTTTGGCTGTTGAATCCACTTCTCTGCATTGCAGGGAGCCCCATCACATAGTCAGCTGCAGAAAAGATTAAGCTCTCAGTAATATTAAAAGCCTAAGAACATTCACTTGACTGTGCTGGCAGGGGAAAAAACCTCAAGTTTTAAGCTAACCACTGGTTTTGAATATTTTTCTGCCTCCTTGGAGTTTTAACTCCTCAGCGCAGGCAAAAGTCACGTCTCCCTTCAGCTGGTGTTCTGCTGTGCTGAACAAAGCTCTCTTAGCTTCCCAAGGCACATTCCTTGTTTCCCTGAGATTCTCTGCATCTGCTTTAGTGGAGTTTTTATTGACTACAGAACGTTAACATGATTTCTGGATAAGCTCTTGTTACTGTCTTTTACCAACTCATTTTGAAGTGCTTGAACAAAGGAAGGAGTATCAGTGAATGGCACTGACAGAAGTGTCCACAACACAGCCCCTTTACCTTTCTGGGATGGTATTTGGTTTCCAGGAGAGAATTATCCTTATTCCTTCTGCTACCCAAAGTGCTACTAGAATGTCTTTAAAAATAAGAATTCATAGTCTTTCATCAAAGACCTGGGATCCCAAACCAAAGAATGCTCAATGGAGGGGAATTAAACTTAAGATGATTTAGATACGTTAGATTAAAATAAATATTCTTAGATTCTGATCTGCTTTTGTTTGTTTGTTTGTTTGTTTTTTGCTTCTGTAAGCTGCAAAGGGGCCATGTCTGGCAGTACAGGAGCCATCTCTTAACGGTGGAGGCTAGGGAGAAGCTTGCTTATGGGAAGTTTAGTCCATAATTATCCATTATGAGGTTTCTTGCAGAGCATCTGGCTCCTTCCCCCGCTGGAAACAGGACACTGGTCTAGATGGACCACTGGTCTGATCTGGTATGGAAATTTAAAGTTGTAGTTTCTTATTAAATAATTAAGATTAATAACTCCACGGGTCTCCTTTGAGATTCTATGTTTAAAGAAACAGCTTCTGACCTCTTT